GTTGGGGGGCCGCCGGCTTCCCCCCGGGGTGGAGGGCACCCCCTCGATTCCTTGGGGAGCACGTGGCAGGCGGGGGCGGAGGGAGCCGGCGGGGCTGCTCCAGAGGCCGGAGTGGGCGGCGGGGTTCCCCCCGGGGGGCCTTGGGGCGCCCCCCAGGAGGGGCGTCCCCCGCTGGAGAGCCGGCCGGAGAGGCGGGGGCAGCGCCGCTCCTGTCTTCGGCCCCTCCATGGGGCAGCCCATGTCCTCTCCCCGGGGGCCCGATGAGAAGCAGAAAGCGAAGCCCGGGGGGCCGCTGGAGAAGGGCTCGGCTGCGCCAGGAGGAGCTGCCTCGTCCTGTCCTGTTCGTGGGCGCCGGCGGGAGCTTCCCCCAGGCTCGCCTGTCTGAGTCACTTTCCTCCACCCTTCCCCATCGGAGGATACGGGGCCGGGGATGCTGCGCTCTCCCGTTGGGGTCATCGCAGGCGCCTGCTGCTCGAAGCCTGCCTTGCCTAGAGGTTGAAAAGGAGTCAGGTGTGGCGTAAGCGCATCATGTGCGCTGGGAAGCTGCCTGGCTGGCTTTCCTCGGTCAGTAAGGACGGCAAAGCACAGCTGAAGTGGGAGGCTGTCGCCTTCTCCCTCCTCCTTCCGTTCTGGTCAGCACTTCCTAACTTTTCCCCCTGGCTAGAATGGGACCCGCAGCTCATCGTCAAAGGGAGAGCTCGTTTGCCCCGTGCCTGGGCAAAGGCTGCTGCGGCAGGCTTCCAGGGGAGATGTGGGTGAGGTGGCGCATAAGGACTGTGTTATGCCAGAACTTTTTCTCAGCATTCTGACCGTCTTCTGTCACTTTTTTTCTCCCTGCAGACAAGATCTCCGTTGTCTTGGCACGCATTGGGGAAATACGACTGGTTCTGCTGCAGGTGGAAATGCTGGGCTCAACGCCCGTCTCGTTTCAGGGCTTGGGCTGAAACCGAATACACAGCTTTCTCACAAGACTCTGGGTCCCCTTGCCCCTGCTCTGGGGGCAAGGGGAAACTCTTGAAAGCGGGGAGCATCCTCCCCATCTGAAAGGGCCCTTGATTGGGTGGAAGCCAAGCTATAGGCTTTTTTCTTTCTTTTCTCCTGGAGATTGTTCTGCAACGACAGACAATGCCGTGAACATTAGCAGTGCTTCCCGCTCACCAGCCCTTCAAACCGCACCTCAGGGAATTTAATAGAGAGGGCAGCGGCCACCAGGGGACTTGCCATGGCTGGGAGTGGATATACAGACCTAAGAGAAAAGCTCAAATCGATGATGCCTTACCGGGACAGCTACAAGAGCAGCAGCAGCGGCGGCAGGCGGGATCCTGCAGAATCCCCCTACGGGGCTGGGGGGGCAGCTGCCGAGCGCAAGCGCAAGCACCATGACGACTCCGACTCCGAGCCCACCGACTCTGAAGAGCCCCAGAGGGAGGAGGAAGAGGAGGAAGAGGCCCAGAAAGTCAAAAGCGGCATCAGGCAGTTGCGCCTGTTCAGCCCTGAGGAATGTGTCAAGATTGAAGCGCGTATCGACGAAGTGGTCTCCAGGGCTGAGAAGGGCCTCTATAAAGATCACACAGTGGATAGGGCCCCGCTCCGGAATAAATACTTCTTTGGGGAGGGTTACACGTACGGGTCTCAGCTGCAGAGGCGAGGCCCTGGCCAGGAGCGGCTGTACCCGCGCGGGGAAGTGGATACCATTCCTGAGTGGGTTCACGACCTTGTCATTCGCAAGCTGGTGGAACACCGGGTCATCCCTGAGGGCTTTGTGAACAGTGCGGTGATCAATGACTACCAGCCTGGAGGCTGCATAGTCTCCCACGTGGACCCCATCCACATCTTTGAGAGGCCAATTGTGTCTGTGTCGTTCTTCAGTGACTCAGCACTCTGCTTTGGCTGCAAGTTCCAGTTCAAGCCAATCAGGGTCTCTGAGCCAGTCTTCTTCCTGCCTGTGAGAAGGGGGAGTGTCACTGTACTCAGGTAAGGAAATGCCACCCAGGAGGCTCTCTGGAGCTTTGAATCTGTTTCAGCTCACTGCCCAGTGACTTTGTTTGGGGAGTTTGGAGGGCTCAAGGTTCTCTGAGCCCTGTTCATCTTTATAAAAGCCATTTTTTTCCATCTGCAGCTTAGGGAGAGCAGCCTGAAAGGGAGTGATTGGCTTCAGTGTTGGGTGTAGAGATTCCTTGATGAGCCACCAAGGACTTTGTTGGTTCAGTCTGCCTTTGTATAAGTGGTTCTTGATTATTGAAAGACTTATTTTCAAGCTGTCTTCTGGGAACTTTCAGAGTCTTTTAAGTGAGGCTCAGTTCACAAGGTCTATAGCGATGAACCAGCATCAATATTTGGTTTTAGCTTTCTCAGTAATATGCTCTGGTGCACATAGAAGTTATATCATGGCACATTCTCTGATTCGTGTAAGGTAAGACTAAAGCCTGGTTGGTGGGATGAACTAAATGTGCAGTTTAGATGGCAACTGGCAGTACATTTGAGTTCCTTACTTGACAAACTTGATGTGGAGTGACTTCGCAGAAAGCAGTCAGTCTGAAAACCATAGAAGCAGGAGGAAGCTTGACATGAGCAACACACGAGTTCACTTTAAGATGACTGCAGCACAGTGTTGGTGTGTCCAGAATAAGAGTTATTAGGGCCTTCTATGTTAGACGAAAGAGCAGTGCGGGGAGAAAACCCCAGAAGATTGCACTGTAGACATCAGGAACCCACGCAGAAGGCAGAAGAAGGGATATTCTGCTCTGGTTCATGCACTCTCAGCGAAGGGTTGTATGAGTTTGCACCTCTGCAGAAATTGTTTTGACTCCCGGGTGCACCTTCCAGCTGAATTCAAGCCTAATGATTAGTGTTTGCATTCAGAATGCAAATTGGAGAGCTATATGGCTGCAATCAGTTCTCCATGGCAGCATTTTTAAAATCAAAAGACAACCTCTACAGTGTACGGTAGGGCAGCGGAAGCAAATTAAGACTGGTGTGCTAGACCTTGAGGGTCTGTTCTTGAGTTAGCAGTTGACCTCTGACTTTGACCCCTTGGGAGGGCATGGTGAGCATTTGTCTACCACGCTCATAAATGAGGGGTGAGGCTTGTGCTTTCGGATCAGGTGGATTCTGCAGAAGCACTTAGTTCTCTAAAACATACCTCTTTTTTTCCGGAGGAGCATATGATAATTCAGCGATCCTATCCAGGGCAGCTTCTGTTAAAGCTGTAACGCTGTGGCTGGAACCTGCAATCCTTAGCTCTTATTTTTTTCTGTACGTCCCACTGCTTTCTGGCTCTGATTCTTTTTCTGTAAAACTGAGGTTGAAGATAATCATAGAGAATAAAGAGATAGTATTGCCTGTGACAATTAGCACCTGGTGAAGGTGCTGCTACTTCACAAGCACTGAGTGTGAAAGAGTACAAAATGCTGGGTCAGGGCAAACTCGTGACAAACCTTATTTATAGGCTTGTAAGCCAAAACCAGTTTTCTGCCAGGATGAGTCAAACCTCCCTAATGATTCAGGGTTGCCATGGTAAATGGAGGGCAACCAATATTTTTGGGGTCTGAGGATTGAACATTTCTGCCACTTGGAAATGCTGCTTGAGAGGTAAGGTGATCCCCTGCTTGCCTCAGTAAGCTGATCTCCACACGCGTCTGGAAGGAAAATCTCTCCTTAGCGTAAGCATGGTCTTGCACAATAGCCCAGGTGCATTAAAAATAAAGAGAAGGAAAAACTAAGC